TATGTGACGAATTCTTCACTTCCTTTCTTCAAGAGCAGTGGAAAAAACGTTGCGAACACGCTAGACGTTTCGAAGAATTTTATGCTTCGAAGGAACTTGCTCTTGATTTCGCAGAAGATGAAATTAATATAGATATTCAAGGCGATAGTGACAACAATTTTGTCAACAGTGAGGATAGTGATAACTTCACAAGCGATTCCAATCTGTCAGAAATTGTACCTTTGGACTTTTGTGACCATAACTTTAATTACGTTATTATTTGTATTCATTCGTCCTAATAAATATAACGTTTTCCATTAAATTCTCATTTTGAAATTTAATCTTCAACCCAAATAAATTACATTTCCAAATTAAGTATTTCTACCTTTCCTCAATGAACTCGAAATTAAATGCAATACAGACTGCTGAAAAATAAACTCATTGAAATTCTGTTACGTAAATACCGCATTATCATATCAAACTAATAATTGACAATCAATTGAAAAAATATTAACCCTTATTGCTACTTGCGGCGAGGACAGGCCACTCTAAACCCAAATAGGCGCATCAACTCGTACGGTAGATTTCATCTTTTTCTATGCTAATACGTTCCCTGTCAGTGGTGTACGTAGGTGGTGATATGTTCCTAGATAGAATAGTACTATTAATTTTGTCAGTTTTGTCGCACGTTTGTCCGTTCGCCTTTCTATGGAGTATCTGTTATAATATGTTTAAAATCTATTTAAAATCTGTTTTTTCGTTAATCAGCTGTCAACCCCATATGAACGACAACTCTCAGAAGTTGAGAAACTTGTGCGAGCTAAGGATTAACGAGGTCTTACCTTCCAACGTGTGATTCCTAACACGGTTACAGAATCATCCCAGCTTCAACCAGATACATTCTCTCGAGAAAAATATCTGGTCGAGGCGGGAATCGAACCCACGGTTTTCCGATCGTGATTCTGGCGCACTACCACCGCGGTTAATTTCATAATATATTGAATATTCCAGCCGTATTTTGAAATATTCTAAAACCATTAATGTGAACGACAACTTTCAGAAGTTGAGAAAATTGTGCGAGCTAAGGATTAACGAGGTCTTACCTTTCAACGTGTGATTCCTATTACGGTTACAGAATTATCCTTGCTTCAACCAGATACATTCTCTCAAGAAAAATATTTGGTCGAGGCGGGAATCGAACCCACGGTTTTCCGATCGTGATTCTGGCGCACTACCACCACGGCTAATTTCATAATATATTGAATATTTCAGCCGTATTTTGAAATATTCTAATACCATTAAAAAATGTATCAATAGTTTTTTCATGAAAGCAATATGTCGGTTCATAAACCCCCACAAATTTCAAGTGAATGAACTTCCTCAAAAATAAGTTCAGTGGATCTATGCGAGGGTTGAAGTTGCAATTTATAATTAAATTCACTAAAAACAATTATTCAACGTTGAGCTGATGATCACAAAGAACAGAGTCCGTGTGGTACGCCATGATAGAATGAAACCTGAAGTACCAATCGTTTAGTTTGCTACTGCGGCAGACATCTTCAGTGATATGTTATTTGGCTGCGAGAACGAAGGTTAGATTTTGAAGTCTCAGCAACGCCTAACTGATGAGCTACGTATTCACTTGAATTTATAATTCCAAAATAAAATACACTCACTCTATACTTGATGAAAATTGGTAACATTTTCGTCCAGGTGTGGTACGAATGTGAACTTAGCCACAGGGACAGTAAATATTGTAAACTCCGAAGAATGTTAGAGGCTTTCTTTTCTCCTCAGTCGATCTGATAGTGTTTCGTAATCAATTAGCTGGACTGTATATTGCGCTAATGTTGTGACGTTCAAACAGTTTTCCAATGCGATGTGTGACTTTGTTTATACAAATAGATTGTGCTAGCTTCCAGGATATATAGCACGTTAAACTCCCTACGCTGTAAAATCAGATGAAATTATTTTTCAATCCTGGTGTTTTCATTATAGCCCTTTTTTGTCCTGTATGGTGGTTAGAGTTTTTGTTGAGATACCGATCAGTATGAGTAAGTTTGCTATGAATTGTGTGATCTATTTTTCCGTTAATTCTTCTTTTCTATAGTAAACTAAATGCGAAAAGCTGAATGGAAATGATGTGGCATAAAAACTGTTCTAATGATTCCTTCCCGTGGCTTCATATAACAAAAGTGTCATCAACAAAAAAGGTTTTGATGAAGCAGCGCTAAGCGCTTTCTTTGCTATCACAGGGCTGAGGGAACTCACCATAATGCTATTTGGAATAGCCAAAGATCGTGGAAGGGCCATGAATAACATCCATTTGCATATTGATGGACATTCTGTGGAACTGACTTACAAAATGCTAAGGACTTCATATATCCTACAACCTAAATACTCTCAAGTGGACACTATCTTAGTATGTCACTCAAACTTACCTTCTCAGACATACTGATTCAATCTATGTTCGATTATTACGATGTTGTCTACAGAAATGATGAGAATTGCATTTCGCTTGTTTCATTCACAAACAAAACAAAACCCATTTATTTGATGAAAATAGTGTTTCCCAGACATCAGATACATCCAAGAAACCTCTGATTTAATAAATAATTTTGACATTCTGAATTATAACAGCACTATCTATGAACGTTCCTTCGCGTATCCTGTAACAATGTATAATCCATTCAGTGAATCTTTGAACGATTCATCACTAGCGCTATTCAAAAGTAAACTTGAAATTGAGTTGCTCAATTAACAGTGATTTAAACATAAACCTTTGTATTTATTTCCCGTTTACCCTGAAAATTATTTTATATCATGCTATTTTTTTCTAATGTTTTTTTTGTATGAAGGTAATTGACAATGTTTCGTGATGAATTTCACTAGTTCGGACTTCCATTGTCTACTATATAAAATGATTTGAAATCCCTGAAACAAGTGAAAAAGAATAATTAAAAAAGAATAGTTGAAAATAACAATTATATTAAGCAACAATAAACCTGAAATGAAATGATAGTAAAATAAAATAGCGGTTTGCTAAACTCCGCCAGGTAAATATTCATCATTTATTTATTATTGGAAATATGTGATGATGAGAACATGGTTGGAAAGAGGTGTAATGTCCTTTGAGACATCACATGCGTTGACAGTCGGACGAAGTGGGAAGTTTGGTTTATGAATCTTAGGAAGGCCGTTCAGTCTAGGTCGTAAGGCTTCCGACTTACGAAGATGACTCCTGTCTTCAATTTGAATTAGCTGGTTATTTTTGTAGTATCTTGGATTTAGAGTCACACTTGAGCATCTTGTAGGTTGCTGGGTTAATATCAAGTATTGGTGTTCCTTAGTGTTCAGAACGGCCGTGCCTTTGCCTTTGACCGCAGAAGAATATTAATCTTCACGTCAGCATTCAACCGTATGACAGCATGTTCTTTGGCGCTGATGTTCGATACATTAGACTCAAATGATATGATTCAAATGCTTATTGGATAATTTTTCATTCAGTCGCTAATTTCACCAACGATGTATGTATTGTGAAACTGATATGGCCCTAACGCTAGATTATACGAAGCCGTGAAATTTTTCAATTGAAGAAAAGTCAGGATTTGAAGATAACAGTAGAGATTTCAAAAAAAAAGTCAAAATTTCGAGAATACAGTCGTTATCTACAGAAGAAACTTGCAACTTCGATAAAAATTAACGAAATCAAATGAGAAAATTGGTTGCGGCCATTTTACGGCTCCGTACACTTTTGTAGGTAGTGGATACAAGTAAAGATGAATATCATTCAATTTATGAACAGTGCCGTACCTCACTCCATTAACACAATTCTCCAATCAGTCTACAGTGTGTGAATCATGTGCTGTAAATGCTAGTTAATGCTATTTTATTCTTATTTTAGGGAACCCAAAATGAAAATTTATGTTTTTCTGAATCAAAGTGAACATTCAACAAGTTTTAATCAGTTCATCTCGTTGGAAAAGATTGTTTTGATCATAAGGAGTTATTGGTGGAATAATACCATCCCTATTCTAAAAATCCACACATCCTGTCTTTCATGGAAAAGATTTTTTTAAATTTTGTTCGTTTTTATCAATCTAGTTTGAACTATAATATTCCACCCTATCTTTTTGTTCGTTTGTATTAGTCTAGTTTGAACTATAATATCTCAGCCTATCTTTTGAACCAACCCAATCTATCTAACTTCCAAACGCATTTTCCAAAGCCACACCTGTTCACGAAATATTTTCGGTGTAGGGTTTGGTATGAAACACGGATAAGATCAACCAGAGAGAGAGAGAGAGACATTAACGGATAGATTAGAGCCTATAGAAATGGGTGCGACCTGTGATTACTGACACGAGCCTTTATAATTTATTATGCTCGGCGTTCTATTAACGTATGGTGTTGCTAGTTTCGACGAGGTGGAAATTGCCCGATATTTGATACTAATTGTCGAATGATGGGAAACAAACAAAAGAGCTTTATGTTACGGAATTCTGCGAGAAGGGGTAGTTAATTACAGATGAAAATGTTTATAAAGCTAGTGACATGTTTTTCCACAGTTATTACAAAAAGAATACTTGTGAGAATTTATAATAGAGTGAAAAATTATGGAAATGTACTATAAAAGATTAGATGAATTTTTCATTGAAACTCCATTATGACATTTCACGATAGCTTCTTTATACGTGGCTCATACTGAACTAAACTATACATACCCAATAAACACACGGATGTCCAGTGGATATACAGTGGATGTCCTTCTCGGATATTACGTATATTCATAAGATATCCGTTTCATGTCCAACGTATAGCCTATGGACGTTCGGAGGCCACTAAGTTGGACTTCCATAGGATATCCATCATGGACGTCCAATGGATATTCGACATGGATATCCATAGGATGTTCGGATGATACTGACTTGGAGTTCCATAAGATATCCATCATGGATATCCATAGAACGTTCATTAAGGACGTCTGTTTGATATTTTCATAGAATAAAACAAAATTTCTATTAATTAAAACATGTATTTGTTAAGATAAATTCAAAACAAAATAATACTGGTCACTCTCAAAACAAATTAAAATAAACTCAACATATTTGGTACCTTATGACAAAAACAAAATGAAATCAACCTCTAAAGCAAGCATATAGAAAAATATGTTTATTTTTCATTTGCTCCTGAAGTATGGCGATCTTTGGCTCTTCTTAGCCATTTTTTAATGCTTTCTCAACTTATTTGTTACTAATTGCAAGATTACTTGTTTATGATGCAGCTGCAAAAGACATAAAATCAGCGACAGGAAATCGACTTTGATTTGTTGAGAAGGTAGGAGAAAGTGGAAAAACCCAACGTTATTCTTTCTAAATGTCATATATCCTGTGTATAGGTTGGAAATTGACTTGGTTAAATGTGAAGGTATTTTACTTGCCAATCATTTATTAAAGTGATGTTTAGAGGAAGAATAAGAAATAGAAAAGTATCATTTTCCAAATCATATCCAGATTTCAATTCATATGTTATTTTCAAAAACAACAGTTGCAAATGAAAAAAAAAAGGAGAAATAATCAGCTTTTACAGACTAAAACTGAGAAAGTTATCAATCAATTTCTTAAAAACAAAATACCTACCATTCACCAGTCATAAAAAAGAACTTCCAACTTATGACATGAATGTTAATCACAAAATAATTAATGCATTTTTAATCAATCCATGAAAAAAAAAATTGAGTATTATAACAGATGCCCAATACTCATCATTGATAAGCACCAACAATATCCGTGTGACCTTTTATACAAATATACTGAAATATTTGATGCAAGACAAATCTACTTTGTTTAATAAGTAACAATAACAGTACCAAAAAAAAGAGCTGGTCATGTTAGACCACACTTATTCAAACAGACGAAAAAATATGTATATTTCACCCTTCATGAATGAATCAGTAGATCAACAAGATTATCTCTTTCAAAGTTCAAAATCTTTTAACATTTTACCAGGCGTAATCAAAAATGAATCTTATTTATTCAAATTTAAAAAAACTGGAATTGAAAATTAATTATTATGTGCCTGACATCGCCATAATATAATTATTGAAATATTCCTACTTCAATATTGTCGAAAACTTCCTCTCTTTTTATATGTTTATTCTTGATTCTTTGATTAAGTTTTGGCATGTATTTTGAACCTTCCAATGTTATATTATGCACACACGTAATATCAGTTTTGATTTTAATGGGTGACAATGTATATGTTTGCTTACTTAACCCTTCTTTACTTTTGAGACTTATAGATTCTATCACATGAAAGTTGCAAATTGTTGAAACTTCCAATGATTATTCAGTTTATTCACGAATTGTTTTATGTTTAGGTAAATTTTACTGTATTTCTGTGGAAAAAAATGTTATATTGAATGTTATATAGTTTTTATATCCTGATATCTATCAATTTACATTAATTTCTTACCGAGCAGAACTTCAGCTAATTTCAATCCGCCAAATATTATTTTTTCCTCTCCACCATACCAGTTAAATGTGGCAGTAAACTCATTTGTGATTTTCTTTCACTTAAAAAGTATCAATCCAGAGATACTTTTCCTATTGGAAATTTTCTTTAAATTACTTACAGCTCCTTTGAAATTATTTTCATCTCGCAAATATTCTTCAAACTTCTTCAAATTTTCTTCTGAATTGATTGGAAATCGAGAAGTTCCTGAAAACAGTGATTGTACTTCCTCATCTGAAACATTGATAACTGCGCCACGATTTTCTATACTCAATTTCTGCAATTCTTCAAGAATACTGATCGAAATGTTCCTGTGTACTACTTCCTTCATCTTTATCGTCCGTTTCATCTGAAGATTGAGTGACATTCTTTTTCTTATTTTCCTCAACTTCAAATCACTGTCAAAATTTAAATCGCTATTATATTCGGCTATTTTTGTTTTGTTTCTGGCCTGTTGATAATCATCTGAAAAAGTTTCACATTTTTGTAATTCTACTCTAGAATGAAAACCCAAAGAAATTAACTTACCTAGTGTTTCATTCCTAAAAATGTCTATTTCATTGAGTGGCCAACAGGTTTTGTAGTTCTCATGCTTCCTTATAGCTTGTAAAACTTTTTCTTGTGTAAAAGGGGGCCAGTAACACTTATTTTTGTCCAGTAACCAAGAAGTGGGCAAAACCTACACATCACTTAATAAATGATTCAACTCTGAAACTTGAAGTCTCGTTTTCTTGCAAGCTTTGTTTAGAATTCCACTTATAAGGTTATGATTTTTCATATTTCAATAGATGTACTCACCAGTTCTAAACGCCCAACTACAAATACTTAAGTTACTAGGTCTTCTCTTTGCAAATTGCTCCAATATTTATCTTCTCAATAAACACGGAAACTACAGTTATTAGTCAAGCGTCAAAATTTAGGATTAAAAATGACAAATATCAAAACCAACAGTTCTACATTCTACCAACCGGAGAACTGTCGACGATACTAAACTTATGATTTGTACATCAAGAATAAAAATGAGAAAGGCAAGTACACAACTGTACGTACCTATTATTAATACATATAATCAGGAGTTCACTATATGTGAAATAATATCATTGAGAATAGATAAACTAGGTAATTTTATATATAATGCAAGAGAGTCTCAATATACGGGGATAAAATACGGGATATTCTATTTGGAAAAACAAACACATAAATTCAAATTGAAATGGTTCAACCGGATACCCAATACTCATTTTGTTCACTTGGTAATGGTTGATACTTCTGAAGTTTCACAAATTTTCTGTGTGAAGATGGAGGAGCAGAAAGCCAGACAGATTTTTTCCAAAAAACAATTCTCCCCTAAAAAATATACACTTTCCAATTCCAATAAGTTTCGAATGGTTGGAATTATCATATTTTCACGTGCTATCATCGTGAAATGTGTAGATTTATTTCTTCCTGTGACACGAAGTCATAATGATAGAAATAAAGTGAGTGCTTCGTTTTGTTATATCATCAATAAATACGAGGTAATAAGACAGGTGTCTTATTCCGAAACTTCAAAGTACGCTATGATAGTGTTCCATGTAAGTGGTCTTTTATATCGTAACTCTTTTTCATATTATATTGTGTAGCGAAAAGGTTATCTCTTTCATATTCAAGCAACGGTCCATTGTAAGATTTTTCACTGGACTATTAACAAAAACGTAACACATGTTTGAGTTCACAATAGTTTTCCCAAGCGTTTTCGTATGTTCCAGTTTTGTAAACTGTCCAGAATAGCTGCCAATTCCATCACAAATATTTTTCTTACATTTTTTATCTGAGATTAACTTTTATACAAGATCTATACATCTTGGTGAAGAGTTTATTTTGAACTCAATAGCTTTCTTTCTTCCTTCCGTCTAATATTTTTGTGTAAAGGAGTCAAAAGGCTCTTCCTAAAAAATTCCTGGAATGTAATATTTATCCCTGGAGTACGGCTTCTTTCAGAAGAATAAAGAAGAATTTTAGATCCTTTCACTCAAATTTGAGCTACGGTGCTAATTGAACGAGGAGTGCGAAATCCACAACGAACTTCTCTGAAACCTAAGCAACTTATTTTATTTATCTATTCATGTACTGTTGAATAGATAACACATCAGGACTGATGTGAAGACTACTACATTTTCCAAGAAAACAAAACGTTTCAGCTTCAAGATGTTGCTCTTAGTTGCCCTGAGAAACAAGGCAGATTTTCTATTCCTGCGATCGCAGAATGTTGATTAAAATATCCTCCAGCATTCAGTTAGTGCCCACCTTCATCATCAGCCCTCATGCAAAACTCCCTCCAGTATAAAGTTACTAATTGACGCCATTGCAAGATTTTCTATCTCCCGTGCCGTCGTTTTAGGGCCGTCTGAAATCATTCCACCTCGACTTATTTATTCATACGAAGTGGTGAAGGCATGCTATATTTATTCACTTTCTTCGATCCGTCATTTCGATTCCGAGGTGTGGCCATTAGGGTGGTTGGTAGAGAAATCCTGTAAAAGTATTCCTTTTATAGTTTTCTTTTTGTACTTCATAGTTTGAACTTCCATTCTCAGTATAATATTTCTCATTCATAATTCGGGATTATTATGTGCTACAGAGGCAATTGCGGGCGTATGAATTTCAAAAACTTTTTTACAAGCTTTTATTCAACTTGAAATGTCTGTATGTAAGTATGTATTTTAATTATGTACTCATGTGAGTATATTCCTTCGTTTCAAATTTTGCAATTTATTTTTAAAACAATTATCCTTCACCAGTGTGTGATTAGCTGGGGGACGTTATTCTACGTCCAATATGATGGACTGAATAGTTGGCGAAGTAGTTTTTTCATGTGCTTCCATGATACGAGTATTAAAGGAAAGGGTTTGCTGAGAAGAATAGAGAAAAAGAAACGGCGCAACTGTGAATGAAATGTGGCGAACCGCCCAAGATAGCGGACTAGTTATTTTTGTGCACCTTCGTGATCAAATGAAAGAGTTTACATAAAAGAATACCAAATCCAATATGACGGAATGCCAGAAGATTCTGAACTATGTTTTTAATACACCCCTAAGATTGTATTTCAAATGAGAGTGTTTGAGGAAAAACAATTCAAAAATCAGGGATAGTTTGGTTTAAACAAATGTTGCAGGCACCAGCCATGCAACAATGACGCTTCAAATTCAATAAAAAAATTCAAAATGAATCAATAGTGAACACTTTGAAACAAACTTTCAATCACATGCTCTAAAACAAAAAATACACTTTGAATTAAATCAAACCCATGAATTTACATTTTACCATATGATATGGAATATCTACCTTTGTAGAAAAACAAGAATTGAATAAGTAACTTCATATTCACATAAGTATTTTTATAAAAAAGTATTTTTTTATAAAATGGATGAATCGCGACAGGTTTCCATATTATAAATTGTGTTATATAATAAATTGAAGGCATCGGTTTTCTCCAAGATGATAAGTGTCTCCGAACCGTATATAATAATGTCAGATCAGATAATTTTGCTTTCTGTTTCGATAAGTTTGTTGGGGATTAAAATGGACATCAATATGTCTTGGCACAATCATGTCGCTGAAATTGCAAAGGCTGCTTCTCAAAAGCTTGAAACAGCGTTCCGAACCAGAAAACTTTACTCACCCCACCAACTATTGATGCCTTATAAAGTTCAGATCAGACCTTTTTTGGAGTATTGGTCTCATGTATGGAGCTCTGCCCCTAATCATACCCTGGATCATTTTTACAGTTCATCATAGAATTGTGTACACAACAGGTATTTTTTTCCGTCGATGTTTCATAAGCAGCAAAATTTTAAACAGGTTGTGTGGTGGACCAACGAAGAAAATCTGCAAGAATTTCCTCAACACATAGAACTCCAACTTGTTTCCTGATAACAGAGTGGAAAATTGACTTGTTCCACACCTTGGAGTCATTCTTATGGTCTCAATACGATTATTTCCTGATAAAGAACTAAACTGTACTGGACTGTATTAGACGCATCGATTAGACGTTCACTTCGAAATTAACTCGAATATTCTCACGGACAAAGTATGATGAGTTGTTTTCTAGTTTTTCACTTCGTATAACTATGTGATTGGAACCTTTGGTATGAAAGTTGAATAACTTTTTTCGAGATCAATTGCCCTAACACCAAACTGATATTTTTGCACTCGACGCGCGAGTGCAAAAAAAGTTTTTCGCTTCGTGTTATGTGTATTTTATCCTCATAAGGATTATTCTCACTAGGTTTCGAAAAAGTCTCATTTGAAATCTTCTGGTGATGTGTGGAGTTTAACAACTAGTTGTAAATCCTCATGTTGTCAGCAACAGAATCCCACGGTTCATACTCACCCTAACAACAGTGAATATGGATATGTACAGACAGTGCAAGAAATGGAGTTGCGTGGTGAAAGACTCGCAGCAAAACGGTTAAGCTTTGTCAGAAGTGGAAGTGGGAACTCTAAATGAGGCTGAACTCAGTCCTATGGCTGAGCCCTCGCAGTGCCCAAAAGAACTAATTATCAACAGAATAGGAATAACATTCGGCCCGATGTGGATTTATAAAATTTTGCATAGCATAAGGACAAACTGGATTGAGGGTAGAAAGCAAGATGTGGAAGAGTTTCTTCGTTTTCTTTTGAACGGTCTGAATGATGAAATGTTGGATTCAATGGATTTTTTCAAATGTTACACTGAAGAGAAAAACCTTCTTCAACCTCTCCCACGGACAATGATTCGAATCATGAGTGGAAGGTTATAGGATCAAAAAATAATAGACAAAAGGACCAACTTCGTTAGTACACCGATAACCGACATCTTTGAGGGGCAACTAAAGTCGAGCATATATCGTGCCGGAGATCACATTTCTGAGAATTTCTAGCCTTTCCTCACGTTATTTTTGAGAAAAGTGAAGACTGTTAGGGAAGCACTTGAGGTATTCGTCTCCAATAACAGATTACAGAAAATTATTTCGTCAGAAACTAATGGCCAGGTCGAAGCGTGGAAGCACGTAATACTCTGCGAATCTCCCATCATCCTCATATTGCATTTAAGGTTCTTCGTTTATAGCCACGGCTGTTGCAATAAGATTATCAAGGCTTAGAAATCTGAATTCGATTCGAAAATTGAATCGATACTGGTTTCGTCGAAAACACATTTTCCAAAAGATAAGCTTTACAAGCTATTCGCTATTGTGTACCAGGACGGCAAAGAGGCCAACATAGAATACTATGTAACCAATGCCTTCCACTTCGGCTACAACTCTCGAGGTACTACGATGATTCCTCGGTTAGAAAGACTACGTGCTACGTGCTTCAGTTCTTGCTAAAGAAATTATCCTCAATAATGGCATTCATTTGCCAATTACAAAATGACTCTAATAAAACATTTGAGTTCTAGTATAAACATACATTT